GGTCAGCTTCCTTCTTTACCTCTCTCTTGAAGGGCGTGGCTCTCTCCTCTATTATCTCTAATGGTTCGAATAGGGTGCTGGAGGGAGTGTATAGTAGGCCTCCATCATGCTAAGAGAGCATGTGTTTCACAAAAAAGAAGGGTAGGATGTTTGATTGCAATCAAACATAGGGTGAACCTCCTCTTTTATTTCATTTTTGTAATGTTGTAGATCTTAAGTCAAAATGTCCGTCCCACATAGTTGTCTCACCCATTTTTCTTTGTCTTGCAGGTACCAAGGTCATGTGTAATGGTTCCCAATTGATCCCATTCAATTTGGGGTCCAAAATATCTACCAATACTTCCAAAAATGGAAAGATGGATCCTATTGTTTTATCTTTGTCATGAGATGTCTTTTTGTACACATTGTAATTTATATAGACCAAGTCAACTCGCTAAATCATATTATTGATCTCCAATATGTGTAGGATCATCCCAATAATTTACATGATGAGTATTATAGAAGAAACAACCTACTCCCATTATTTAGCTCAATAATGTCAAAGATGGGACTATAGGTGTTTGTATTCTTCCCAAATCATCCTATCACTTATTTTGACATTATCATTCAGGTTATTGGACTACTAGCCATGTGGGTTACCCTCAAGTGGGCTAAGGGCGCCACTCTTGAATACTTACTATTTTTAGCACGTTGGGCCCAAAATGATGTTTGGGCCGCCCGACCTTCCTTAGTTTGCATCGAAAGGATATGTATCATTATTTAGATAATGTTGGACTCTTATATTTATTTAGATGGCCCAAATAAGTATTTGAAGGCCCATCATTAATATACGAGCTCAAACGGTAAAATAATCAACATGCATTACACAAATCATTAATCGTTTTGCACTCGTTCAACAATAGGAAGTTCAACACATAAATTTTGAATTTTAAATTGAATTTCAAGGACGTTTGGGTGCGGTGTCACAAGGTAGGTTAGTCGTAAGTGGCTACATTGTGGTAATACATAAAATTTAGACACACATGCTTTGTGTGACAAATTTGGTCAAAGAAAAATGAAAAGTCACATGACTAGCATTGACTTTTATAGATTATATGTCGGAAATTTGTCATAAACACACACTCATATGTCATAAACTATTATAGATTATATGTCGGAAATTTGTTTCTGGCATTGATTTTTTTATTGGAAAATGATTATATTAAACTTAAAAATTAAACATCGAACATTCTAAGTTTCTAACTACACAAACATTTCATGTAGACTCCTTACAGCCAATAAGCCATCTCACTCTTTGATCAGGCATAGAATAGATTGTCCAATAATGAGCAAGACTAATCGTTGAACATGCGAGAAATTCATATTGTTGACCAAACTAGCCTGATTGCTTCCTTCCAAACTAAAAATTAAAACCACAAAACATAAATTATAGCGTTCGACCTTAGACAAAACAAAAGGTAACAAAGTACTGGACTAAAAATATAAAATTAACGCGGATAAAACTAGATAATGTGAGCAAACTTGAGCCATCTTCGTCCAAAACCTAGATTCTCTATCGATCCATGGTGGCGATTCAGGAGGGGGCAAACCAATAGCACTTAACCTTCCTCCTCCACGATCAATGATCTCAATTGTTTCTGTTTGGGAATACTTATGCCCTTGCATTGCAACCTGCAGCTTTGAAGCCATTTAATCTTTCTTCCAATCTTTCTTCGCAACCTCCGTCGTCAACTCTCTGTGAAACCTAGACCTCCGTCTTCAACTTATGTCTCTCCCCTTGCTTTTCCAAACAGCACCGTCGCCGAGGAAAATCAGCGTCGGCGTCCGCCAAAACTAAACCCTAGACCCACTAGGTTGTCCCCCATTTTGACTTGTCTCCGGCATTGATATGTCTCGGAAAATCGCAATGACATATAAAAAAAATTGTTGTGGATTGTATCCTTTTTTTAATACATCGGAATAGTCATGGATGTTATCCTTGACATTACATTACAAGATTAAAAACTATGGGATTGTTCTGTCACGGAACGAATTTGTGACAGAACATATTGAACACAAGGAAATTGCAATATTAAATCAAACAACTAAATAGCTACAAAAAATAACATATGTGGAGGGTGAGAGAGGTTGTCATTGCTAGGGTCCAAAAATTCATTGTTGGACTGAGAATTTGATTTGGATTGAACGCCTTAACTGTCGTGTTGACCACCTTGACCATCGGGTTGACCGCTGGGTTGAGTTGGAGTGAAATATTGATTTGGGCTGATAAAACGGAATGAATGAGATATTATTCAATCCCGAAAAGCTTTGGGTTTTGGTAAATCCCCTAAGGGTACGTTTGGTTCAAGGAATGTGAGATTAACACGAGAATGTCAGATTGCTGGGTATGTTAGATTGATGGGAATGTATTCAATTTATTTCCACTTATGTTTGGTTAACATCAAGGCAATGTCAGATTGCTGAATATGTTAAATTGATGAATTACTTTTATGCCCTTTAAATATTTTCTCTTAACGCAATAAATCTATTACAACATACATCTAAAGTGATTAAAATTAAAGAAAAAATGAATATCTTAATATTAAATAAAATCAAACCTAATTGAATTATTTTTAAGTAAAATATGTTTAATTGTAAAAATTTGTAGATTCAATACAGAAATGAAAAAAAACTATGTTTAAAATTTACATATTTAGAGACTACATTAAAAGTTTTATAAAGTTACAAAAAATCAAATTTGATAACAATTGAATATATAAAGAAATTAAATGAAAAGAGATCATTAATTGAGGGTATTTTTGGAAGAAAATTAGATCACCCCGGGAATATGAGATAACCTAAGGCATGGACGGGTTTAAGATTCCCATTCATAATACAAACCTGGGAATGTAACTTTCCCGTTTTTTTTTTCAAACCCGTGAACCAAACAAGGGTATCTAACATTCCGTGCATCACATTCCTGCCTTCATGTGAGATCACCCCAAACCAAACGGACCCTAATAGCTCACATGAATACCACTAGTTGTATTTATAGAGAAGGGAGAGTAGAGAGAGAAAGATATCTCCTTATAAATGAGTTGCAAACCGTTTACATCTGCAGTAAGGGAAGTATTTATACTAGTAATACACGCCCTAATACCGTAATGTAGTGAAGTAGAGTTAATATTCACCGGGAAAAATATATTTCTTGTGTGAGGTCATGTAAAAAAATTGTTTGAACTTGAGAAAATTATCACACTAAGATAAATGAATTATGTGATTATATATCGATGAGCTAAAGACTTGGTTTTGCTACTTCCCGTTTGTTGAATTGTTCATTGATCCTGATTATATCTTTAAATATTCCCTATCGAATACTCATGGTAGAGTATCTCCAATCCAACAAGGATAATTATTAATAACGAGACTGTAAATTAACAACTCTTACGTACTAATAGCCAAGCATAGTAACATTTTAATTTCTTGACGAAATCAATTTAGGCTGATAACCTTAACACAACGATTTCGGTTCAACCAACACAATTAATTTTCTAAAAAATTATCAATCATGAGATCATGCGTTAATGACCCGAAATTACTTATGAAACTATCAATGATTAACCATTGATTAATTGATCACTTATAGTAATAAATAATGTCAAAGTGTTAAGTAATCATCACTTAGGTTTAGGTTGACTAATATGTAAACAACATTAGCAAATGACCAACCCACCCACGAAATTGAAAAAAAAAACTAAAGGTTGGTACCAAAACCAACAACGCTCTAGAAGAAGAGCAAAAATGCATACTTCTTTATGAATTAGATAATACTAAAAACTAAAATACATCCTCCCTCCATCTCTTATAATTCTTTCCGGTTTGACTTGGATCGGAATATATGAAAGTGAGAATAAAGTGGAAATGTATATAATTGCGATTGAGTAAGAAAAATGTAAATGAATAATAATCACACAAAACTTTTCAAAAGAGAATTGAAAAGAATTTATTAGGAAATCCCAAAAGTAAAATGAGAAAAATTTTGTGGGATGGAGAAACTATTTTTAGAATTATAGCTAATCCTAATTAGATGTCAAAGCTGAAAATCCAGCAGCTGGACAAAAGCTCACAAAAACATCCTAAAAAGGCAGATATGTCGCCTTGATTTTATGTGACTCGAGATAACTCTAGTCTCTAAAATCTAAATCATGACATATTTAGAAAATAAATTCGACTTTACTGTTTAGACACTATTTGACATTGTTTAGACAGTGTTTGACACTGTTTAGACACTGTTTGGCACTGTTTGACACTGTTTTGATGTAAGATAACTTTCCATTTAGGGAAATGAGAAGATGATTTTGGAACGGCCTAAAAGGAAAGCAGGAAGTTAATAACGGGACGGAGGGAGTACAAGGATAAGGATTGCATATTTTACATATTAGTCAACAATATGAATGGTAATCGAAATTTGGGCATTTGCTAAACTGCTAAAGTCGTTTACTTGTTTGGTTTTAGAAAACAATATTAGTCAACGAAACATGTCCTTGGAAAGGGCATGAAGTTAACTAATTTAAGGCCTAATGGAGTAATATATTGAAGTAAAATATATATATGAACTGTATATACTATATAAAGGTGGACTAGACCTGGGCCGGGCTCCAGGTCATAAATATTCAGGCCTGGTACCATCTCGGGTTAGCATCAGGACCAGACCGGGCCGGATCGGGCAATTTTTTTTTATTTTCTTTTAGAATTAATTTGAACCCCCCCCCAACCGCCCAGCCCCATCCACCTAGAACCAGCCCAACCCGAAAAATTCTATAATAAAAAAAAATGTTTGGTCCCGGAGTGGGCCCGGACCAGCCGACCAGCTGGTCCACCTATTTCAAAGCCCATAGCCCGCCTCTATAAGCCCCCGGTTAGGGCCCTAGTCCCGGTCCCAGACCCCCGGTCAGCTTGGGTCTATACAGTAACGAGCCGGGCCGAACCGGCCCACTCCATCCCTAACTGTATAGGAAGGGGCACTGATCAACAATCTTCCATACAAACCTAGTTTTTATTCCTCAAAAGAATACCAATCTACAATGCAAAATCAATGAAACACACTCTAAACATGACAATCCTCAATTAAAGAACTTTTTGTTTTTAGACAAACTTTTTGCCACATGGCACAGGTAAAAACTCTGTAAATATATGCTCTAATCGGAAGCTCGGCCACGGCCTCTACCACCATAGCCGCCATATCCTCTTCCACTGTATCCTCCTCCGCTGTATCCTCCTCCGCTGTATCCTCCTCCAGTGTATCCTCCTCCAGAGTACCCTCCACTGTAATATCCCCGAGATCGCCCTCCACGGTAAGGGCCACGGCCACCACGGCCACCCCTATACCTTGAGAAATCTCCAAATGTCTGAAAGATGGTCACATTACATTAAATTTTTCATTAAAAAAATCATAGAACTTGTATTTTAGGGTCTGTTTGGCGGGAAGGGTTTGGAGGGGAGGGCTTCATAGGGCTCTTTGTAGTTTAAAAAGAGAGAGATTACCATAAAATGCTCCCAAATTAAAACATTTCAATCATCTTTTTTTCATTTTTAGATAACAATATGTTCATGAAGGAATATGCTGGCCTTCCAAAACACTCCATCCAACTACATCCTTAAGGTACTCCGTAAGAAACTGAATGTACCTCGACATCAATCTTCCGCTGCTCAGAGAACCTAGTCCTCGCTTGATTGGATTCTCTGTCCAGAGCATTAGAAGACAAGGAATCGAAAAAGTCATCCTTGTTATAGATAGGCTGCAAATGAACAGTGCATTTTAAATTTTGTCCATAACGTCCAACACAAGCATAGAAATGGGGGAAGCAAAAAGGATAAGAGGATGCAAGTTAGAGTTCACAAAGGTAGTAGAGTGATAACCTTGACCTCAGCCGTAGGATGATCAGCGCCATCTTGTTTCTGATAATTATTATCCTCATCACTGTCATTCACATTCCCTTCTTTGTCCCTTGGATCGGATTTAGTACTCTTGCCAAGATGACCCCACACTTCATCTTTGTTAAATTTCTCATTCATGGCCATAAAATCAAACTCCTCGGCAAAAGTTGTCACTGGCCGTGAGGTCTATTATACAAAAAAAAATGTGATCAATATGGGGCACATATATTGAACTCATGTAAATTGAAATGACAAGCAAAGCCAAAATAAGGTAAAGGCAATTTTAATATCCTTAAATAGGCATCTTTCCTGTTTACTAAAACGCCATCATTTAATATCCTTACCTACCACAATTACTACTTGCAACCACTAAAGGCAATTTTAGAAGTGAACTGGCAAGCAAATGCAAAAACAGTACCTAGTCAAACCAGGAACATTACGTTAATAAGGTAAAGGAGTTCATAATTACCCCAGTTCCTCTTCCTCCACGACCTCTGTAACCATGTCGGATCTGATGCTGAGGTGCGGCTCCATTCGGCTGGATCAAAGAAGGAAAGTAACAAATAGTTCATTTGCTTATGCACAGCAGAGAATGAAAGCAAAGGGGAATTTTAATAGTAAAATAGCTACAGTTCTAAATCGTTTATGATGGTGATTCATATGTTTAGAACATGAATACACTTGCTCCCGTAAAGAAAAATAGATAGGTAGATTTACAGCATGAAGTGAACTGTAAAAGATGGCATACTTCGAGTGTTCCATCCCAAAACAAAATAATGTAAGAAATGAGTAAATGACAAAAAGATAGGAAATGCATGAGTAATGAAAAAATATAGATAGTATATGAAAGGGTAAATACCTTCTGTATGTAAGCTTGTGGAGGTAATGGCAAGATTGGCGGCTGAGCTTCAGATTTAACGGTTGCTGATGGTTCTGATGGTGACACTTGAATCACTTCAACATCCTTTTGAACAGTCTGTACTGATTGAGTTGGTGGGGGAGCACTGGGTACCGATTTCAATAGATGTCCCGGAGTTAACAGTGAAGGTGTTGGTGTCTCCCCAACAGCAATTTTAGATTGCACGGTCGCTGACGGATGAGTGGGCAAATTACTGACATGAGGCGAAGCCGCTGCCACACCAGGACCTGTCGTAGAAGACGCAGATGCTGTTAAAGTTGAATTAAATGTTGTTGGCGGGACAGCAGTTAGTGAAGTCTTGTTTGGCAAAGTACTGGATATTGGTTCAGAACTGGGAGCCAAATTTTGAAATGGAAGCACGGATGAGGACAGGTTAGGTATAAGTTGTAGGGGCAGCACATTTGGAGTCATGGTTGAAGCAGGTAAAGATGACGAGGTTAAACTAGCAGTGTTTGAGATCAGCTGAGAGGGGTATTCAGGTAAGTTTGAACTTGGTAGGCCTAAACCTCCAGATGGAATCGATGAGTTGAAAGCAGAATACTGCATCTGTGGCATGGAAGGAGGAATAGACAATCCAGGTGGGGGTCGAAGCAGTGGTTGTTGGTTCAATTGGGGCAGCCCATTAGGGGTACCATAAAACCCCGGCCAATACATGGGCATACCAAGTCCACTGCCACTTGCAGTTTGTTGCGTTAGATGTGAAGAGGCCCAAGGGCTGAAATTCCCTCCAGGCTGATACAAAGGTGGAGCATTTGGGGCTTGTGTTGGCTGAGAATTAAGATCCGTCAATGGTGTACTAACTGCAGGAGGCAAGTTGGAGGAGGTAGTTGGTGGACGAGGATAATGAGACTGCAAAGAGAATAAATTATCATAAGCCAGATGAATAAATGAATATGATAGATTGTATCGAACTAAGTTCCCCATTGCTTGCCTGGATAATAGCTGGGTCGTTGTTTATTTGGGGCATACTCTGAACAGGTGGAGAAGCCTTGACCTGTAAATCCTGGAGAAAATATCAAACTTGACTTGAGTTTGAGTTCAGCTTTAACCGCCACCATTTCATCATTTTCATTTACCCCAGTGCCGCAAAGGCTCCCACCTACGGTGGGGTAAGGGGGGGTCGGATGTACGCAGTCTTACCTCTGTACTAAAGCACAGAGAGACTGTTTCCGGATGACCCATAGTGAAAATCGAGTCCAAAATTGCATGGACTGACTACTGCTTCATAACAAAGAAGCGCAGACAGTTTAGTGAGTCATTTTGCTTTTTTCCATCACATTTTCAAGCCAAAAAGTAATGAATCTTTGGCTCCATTGCAAATGATGGAAAGAGCTTTAACCGCCACCAAGTGTGCTAAAAAGCACTACTGGCTAGACGAGAGCATCAGAAGGGACTAGCACCTAAGAGCATTAGAGATTTTTTTAATATTTCCTCATAAACTTTTATAACTTTTGTATTTCCATATGAGTTAAAATGTATATTTATAATATACTGTGCATCATAAAATATATGTTGTGAGACAATAACAAAATTCAACCATTAAACACAATTAATCTACACATGATATATGATTTTAATGACATCTCAGTTTTCAAGTGTACTATAGAATGATAAAATGAATCGCTCAAATATTATATACTCACAAGTCATAGCAAACTTAGATCATATAAGGCAATTTATCTAAACCTGATCATCTCATATGTTGTGGATTTAAAATGTGAAAATGTAGGAAGCCGGTCTTGACATTCTTTCATGATTTTTTAAAAAGAATGACAAAAAAAGAGTAATTAGATGGCACCCAACTGGTATTGCCTGGGCGACTACTTAGACGGTCGTGAATATGCTTATTTCAGTCAAACTGGGGACTTCAGAGTTAAGTACGGTGGAAACAATGGGATTAGATCCAGAAATCAAATGAAGGATTAGCCGCAAAGCATAGGGTTCTATGATTAGTTTATTTCACTCAACTCCAAGGCAAAAAATAATACTTTTAATAACCATTACTACTTTCAGTACCGCCATTTCTTCCTCAACCACCTTGTTTAAGTGAACATCAATTTTTTCACCAAAATGGCAAAAACAATGGACCCCTTCACTCAACCAGGAAATGGACGCATTAAATCACATAACTATATTGGTCTACTAACACCAAGGGAAAGAAGCGTAACACTTTAATTAGAAATCAAAATGAGTAACCCACCTTGATATCACTTCCACGAAATAATATATATTCATAGACTTTGTCACTTGGTAGAACTTGAGGACCGTCTTTTTTCCTCCCTTCTGTTCCAAATGATCGAACTGCAAATGACAAACTCACAGCAATAATAGTTCATTTTTTCGGATAAGCAGTGTCTTCTAAAATCAGATGGGATAAAGTTACAATATTTATGGGTCATTAGTATTTACCAGACTTATTTAAAGAGAAAAGCGAACAAAAGCAATGTGGTCGAGCTTTCATTAGAAGCGAAAGCGCAAAGCAAAGCGTTGCTTTCTCACAAAAAGTGATACTATTAAAAAAATATATGATCCCTCAATCCCTAAATTATTTATAAGTTTACTTCTCTCGGTCAACAGTCTTAGTTCAAAAAAGTGCAGGCGTGGAGCGCCGCTAGGCATTGAGGATATCGCATTGATTAGTCCTACACGCAGTACATACCCATAGCCACGCCCTATCCCTTGTATTTTGCCGCTTCCTGCACTTCTGGGAGGCCTCCGCCACTGGCGCCTCTGGGTGTCAACTATATTGTTTAAATATTTACTCCAATATTATTAAAGAAATATGAACGTTTGTTAGTATATTATTCCTCCAATTTCGAGTAGGTAGTTTGGCATTTCAAATGTTTCTTGCTACTGTTTGAAAAAATATTTTGTTTGTCTTAAGGTGTGTATTAAACTCGATTAATGGCTTAAGTTAGTTTTGTGATATAATCAATTTATTTGGAAGAGGGTTTCATGTCGAAGTAGTATAAATATATTTTACCAAAGTTATAATGTTAAGTTCCATGAGGCGCAATGTTTTAAATTGTGCAATAGTATCCCGCCTTGAGGCGCGCCTCACAGATTTTCAGTTGCTTTGCGATGGAATGTATCCCTTTCATGCTATAGCAAGGCTTGCGCCTTCTATCTGAGGCGTACGCTAAAGGTGCACGCAATGAGGCGTTGTGTAAACATACGCAATAGAAGGGAGCCAATTAAACTGAAATAATTGGGCCAATAAATATTTAACTTATCTCATCGATTCATCTGCTCCCACTCGTCTCTCCCTCTCATCTCTCCCTCTCGTCTTTGTCTGTGGTTGTCCTCTCGTCTCTCCCTCTCGTCTCACTCTCTCTCAACTTTGTCTGTGGTTGCCGTCTAGTCTCCAAGCATCCAAGATACTCCTGTCCACATCTCTTTCGTCAGCCACTCCCATACACACTGTCGCAAGTCGCAACTCCCGCCAGGTAGCCAAGTATCGTAGGTTGAATATATACTCCAAATACTACGTACTTTCTCTGTTCCAGAATTCTTGCAACATGAGCTTGGGCACAGAAATTAAGAAACATCAATAAAGTAAAGTTTGTTCCAGAATTGCCCTTGTACTTGCCATTATCATATACGGAGTAATAAAGATGCTACAGTAATAATTTAAAATAGCACAACTAAGCCAAAAAGACATCCAACAAAAGCACAACGGAGACTCCGGCATGTCACTGACGGAGGATGTAGAACGAGGATCTGATGGAGGATCTGATGGAGCATGTAGAACGAGGATCTGATGGAGGTCTGCAACCTGCAACTGCCATTCAGGATCTTGCCCAACGCTGGAGGTCTGCAACACTAATGCCACCCGCTCGAGTCCGCCGACGCCGCTCCAGAGCGCGACTGTCCCTGGACCTTGCCCGCCGTTCAGGACCTGCTTCTCTTGCCGTGACAATATGAGGGGGGTGTCAGGAATCACCCATTTTGTTTCTTCACTGCTACACGGCTGCAGGGGAGTAGGGAGAGGAGGGAGCAGACAAATCGGCCTCGTTCATTTCACCAGTCAAAATGGATTTTGAATTGAAGATAGGAGAAAGGGAAAAATTATAGATCTAATTTCTTTAAATTCTAACGAAAAGGAAGGTAAAAATAAGAGAAAGAGGAAGGTGGTGGGTGGAGAAATTGAAGAGATAAAGGGGAGGTGGGAGCCGTGAAGAAGATAGGGAAGAGAAAAGGTTATTGGGAGTGAGAGGTTGGGAGTGAGAGAGGGTGGGTGAAAAATTAAAGTGGGAAGGATAGTAAAGTCATTGTACCTAATTATATTTGCCAAAAAGAGTAATGTTGCAATTATTTTGAAACTGCCAAAAAAGGAAAGTGTTGCAAGAATTCTGGAACGGAGGAAGTATATCGTAGCCAAGGAGTAGAATTCATCAAGTCTTTTTCAATTTCCATTGGAACTCCCTTACTATGTATTTATACAATTTCCATTGGAACTCCCTTACTCTGTATTTATACAATTAATATTGTAATTAATATCATCATCATCATCATTGCCCCAGTGCCGCAAAGGCTCCCACCTACGGTGAGGTATGAGGGTCGGATGTATGAACATTACCCCTGTACTAAATATGGAAATATATTTATATAAATATATTTATAATTAATTAGCAAGCATTGAATTATATATATGGATATAATTTGCATTTATGTGTTCAAAAAAATTGTAATTTTAGAAACCATATTCAAAGTATTATTTAAAGATATTTTCCCTAATATTATTTAATTTTCATTGATCAATTTATTGAATTACGAATGTTACCATTAATAATGTGTATGATTTCATGTTTGAACTCACGGATTCCATTATTTTATGACATTATTGTTGGTGACTTGGTTTGTTTATGAAATGCTCCATATGTTGTTTTGGATTAATACTTAACTCTTATTAACTTTTTATAAACACAAATTCAGTACAAATTACGCCTCATCTTTACGCCTCATCTTTACGCCTCAATGCGCCATGAGGCTTACGTAATACACAATACCACAAAATCGCATCGTAACCGCAACATGCAAATTCAAACATTGATGAAGTGCGCGCCTTCGCCTCACGCCTCGGGTAAATTGACCCAAAATTCCTTATGCCGCCTTGCGCCTTTTAAAACTAAGAACACAGATTGATTTTATTTAGTTAATTAGGGAATCAAATTTTTATTATATCCTAATATGAATTTTTTGCAATTTTATAGAGCTTTAAATGTAGTTTCTAAATATGTAAATCATAATTAGTAAAACTGATTTAATTATCTGCAAGGAAGATTTAACTTCATTATTAATTAACCTTATATACTGCAAATTGAAAATCAATTTGGGACGGAAGAAGTAAATAATTATATATTATATATAATGCATACCAAAACATAAATACATAAATAGTCATAATAATCATAATAACAATAGTAGTTCTACATATACAGAATACCAGTAACAAGCTCACACATGAGAGATACTTCAGAAACTTATTATCAGATAGGTCCACTGTCTATAAATATTTAAAAAAATTGCAGCTAGATGCTTAGCTGTGAAAGATTGAAAAGAATAATCTTTGTAAAGTTTTCATTCTCCATTCTGAAACATTGTTCATAAACATCACTGAAAATGGTTTGTGAGAAATTTTTTCACAAAGCCCATACTGGAAATACCATTTTTTGTTAATTAAAATTAAAATAGAAAAAAATGGAAAGATGGAGAAAAACAGAGTAATTTCGAGGTTAAAAAGGGACAAAGAAATGGAAAATTTGAATATGCAAGACCATGCAAGCTCGTTCAAGTCATTTTCTCAATTACTGAAACCCAAACCAGTAGACTCGCTCAAGCAATTTCTCTCGCTTCAAGCATTTAGAATTTTCCTCAAATTGACACAAGCTAGACATCACTACATCAGGAAACAATTATAAAAAAAACTTCCTAGGAGAATATAGAACCAAATATAAAAACGCAGCGAGAAAAAAAACAAATCAACATTTTATAAGATGTCTGCACGTGAGAAGTATTCACCGAGCAAAACGGAGTTCAAAATTCATTTAATAATCTACCTGGAGTGGAAAAGTCAACCGAGAAGCTTAGCAGAAGGCCACTTTGAAAAAATCATTTACTAATCTAACTTTAATTTATGAGATTAAACTAAAAAGAGTCACAAGATGCAACCCTGGCTATAAATAAATAGATAGATAGACTAATTGAAACTAATTTTAATTAACCAGTCAAATGTCCACTTTTTGAGAGGAGCATACATAAGCGTCGCTATTGCAGTTAGACTCTGAATAAAAAAGCGACGGAAAAAGAGGCGCTTTCTCACCCACTCGTCACTTTGTAAAAGCTAAACACAAAACTATAGCTCTCCAGGGCTTTGGCACTTAAGCGCGCATTTGTCGCTTTTAACAAGTCTGTTATTTACAAAAGCGCTGCTTTTGCACTTAGCTCTGAATCAAGAAGCGACGGAAAATGCGGCGCTTTCTCATCTCCTTGTCGCTTAGTAAAAGCTACATGCAAAGCTATCGCTCTCTAGGGCTTTGGCACTTAAGTTCGCATTTGTCGCTTTTAACAAGTCTGTTATTTACAACTGTAATGTTGATGACTTCAATGACACTGTGTTTAAGACATCAAAGGTAATAAGAAAACAATGCAGTTTCAGTCGCTATGCTATCAATGTTTCCAAAGGTTGTGACTTGTGACCACGGGAAAAAAAGACTACCAAATCTGAAAAACAAAAGACAATTCTTTTGACCTCATATGGATTTTACAAAATTAAACAACGTCGATCCCCATGTGAAATAATTACCCATTCTTATTGCACAATATAGAAGTGATAAACTCGATAGAGATCTTTTCTGACATCCATGAATGGTAAATGTTCTAAGAAAACATGCTTAGTTTTTTCAACTGATATATATTTTATGGGTACATAGCCAACACAACGAGACTCTAATAAAAATGAACCATAGAAAGTAGCACAGAAATGACTACTTTAAATTTTAGGGTACCATGGAAACCACTGTGCGCAACTAAATCAAGAACTGAAATTCTAACTACAATGTAGCATAGAAGTGACTACTTTAAATTTTAGGGCACCATGGAAACCATTTAACGTGACTAAAAAGAAGAATTATAAGTGATCAACAACGGAAGAAGCATTCAAATTCACTGGAAATTTTATAGCTTAGTAGCTTTAAAAAAGTGAAGAAATCAAATATGTATGGGTAAGAATTATACCGTTGCGCAGACCGATACTAGACTCCTCGGTGTTGATGTTGTACAGAATACCTTCATATCTGATTTCGCTCTTCGATGTCAAGCTAATCAAGCTCCCGACGTATGAATCCGGCGATGCACCAGATCTAGGCGCCGATGAAGAACTCTCAGCTGCCATGCTAGGCAACTAAAACCGTTCACCGCAAAATTTATGTGCACAAGAAAGGTGAGAAGATAAAGAGCTAGATGAGTCCCGATTTGACTGTGTTTGAAGATTGACGGTTGGGGGAGAAGAAAACAGGAAGGAGATGGTGGATTATGAGGGATTACGGAAATTATATGTAGGGTTTCGGTTCCTCCAAATTGAGGGGTTTATTTCGTAATTATAGAGTTTCATGTGGGGATAATCGGACGCCACACTGAAAAGAAACATTAGAGCCATGGTCGTGAAGTCTATGTGGCACATGAGAGACATGCATGATTGATGTATTATGATGACTATTTTAATTTAAGGCTTATTTGGACATCGGCGATCAATGGATAATATTTGATAATCAGATCTTAACAAGAAACATAACAATCATGGCGTTCAATACTACACTAGTGTGAGACAAAGAACAAAAACGCCATATAAAAGCACTCGTGTTCGCTAACTCTGCAACAATGTAGACTCATACTGCAGTGTGTCTGTTCATGATACTCGGAATGGGTTCGGCTTGACCAGCCACCGAAAAGGAATTATTAAACTTGACGGTTTTTACAGCCACCGGTAAGGAGCCAAGTGCAGAAATTGTTCCGGTTTGACCAGCCACCGGAAAGAAAGCAATCCATCCAATGTCATCTTGGATCGGCGGTGGTTCAGGAGGGGGCGATCGGCCTCTATATCGATGCAGAAGAAACCCTGATTCATGATTGATAAAAAAGTCAATACAAACCTCTTACTAGCACACAAGAACACTCGATCGATGATGGCACACGGATTATAGAAAGATGTTTGACAATTTAATTGTTTACTTTTAGTTATTAATAGATAAAAAGATTAAAAAAGACATTAGTATGTATGATGTAAAAAATAGTACTTCATCGGTCCCCTTGTGTCTCAAATATAATAGGATGGAGGTAGTATATGTTAAAAAGACATTAGTGTATGTTTATTTGTTGTTTAATACTATCTACTAAGTATGGTGTTACAATCAAGTATACTAATGTATATCTGAGTGAATTAATGATTTAAACATTAACTCGATATAAAAATATACGGAGTATGTACTAATAAGTAAAATTATACTCTGAAGCGTATAGTAATGGACGCGTGTATTTTACATGTACATCGATATATATACAATACTTCCCCGGGCCATACAATACAAATATATGATACGGAGTATAAAAAGTAGCTAAGGTCTGCAGATATTTTACATCACTGCATGTACACCATATACCTATCTAACCACACATTCAATATAAATATATATACATGCATGTATAACGACCCCTGTATATATACATGGGTAACCTCTGATTTAACTAAGTGCACATGGCATAAAATATGAATGTCTGCGAATTACTTTACGTACGTGGCGATACTTTTGTTTAGAAGAGAAGGTATGCGTAATATGGAAGAATAAGTAAAGTATGGGAAGTGAAGAATAAGGAAGGGTAACATTGAGACTTAAATACGCATTTAGAATTCGTTGACCCGAAAACCCTTCAAGTTCGAACATTTTCTTTTTTAAGCGTTTCGGGCCAAAACATTATAGTAACAAGTCATCTGCCAAAGACTTAATTTCATCATGCATATATACATCTTTACATCTATACATACATACATACATACATACATACATACATACATACATACATACATACATACATACATACATACACACATACATACACACATACATACACACACACACATACACACATGCACGCATGCACGCATGCATGCATCCATACATACATACACACATACATACACACATACATACACACATACATACACACATACATACACACATACACACATGCACGCATGCACGCATGCACGCATCCATACATACATACATACATACATACATACATACATGCATACATACATACATCCATGCATGCATTACATACATATTAAGAAAAAGCACTTCATGTGGTCATCCAATATATTAAATGGTACCTAAAGTCAGGAGAAAAAGTCCTTTTACGATTCGCCTAAATCAAGGATATGTATTTTTTTCAAAAAAAGCAATGTATTAGATACCCTACTTTAAATATCGTGCACACCGCATACGTGCAGTGACGCGTTCGAGCCTCATGTGTGACTACTCGTGCCCACCTCAAAGAAACTCCATACACGTGCTAATCCTTAGAAGTTGGATAATAACAATAAATATCACATGTGTTTTTCCTCTGAAGTAGCAATTGTTGACAACAAGCAAATGAGAATAATCTGGATTCCGTGTGTATATGTCAGTCAGTTGTGCATGCATGAGTGGACGTAGTCTAAAATAATATTTTATTCTTTTATTGTTACAAGCACCATTCTTTGACTCATGTATTACAATCGGACAATTTGGAGTTAAATGAAACTCAAACTTCTCAATTTAATACATCATTTTATTAACCATTATATTTAAATCTCTATGAAAACTTGTCGTGGCTTCTAGAATATTGGTATGGTTTTTGCACATAAACAACAATAATTTGTAGGGGCATACAATACTACAAAAATCACCTTTGGAGTCACGTGGAAATTGCACCGTCTTTAAAGCGGTGCATATATATGTTACCGATGGTTGAGGTAAGGTATCTATTACATTGTTTTTGGTGGTGTGGAAGCTGATTACTATACACATCACATATTTGAATGAAGAGACCAATGAAACGTTTTCTGTATTTAGCATACACTACATTCCTTTTAAACTATAGGCAAATCATTAAGCTTCTTTTCTTTTTCTATTTTCCAACTTTATGGTGACCTTATATATATTCGATATGATGCGCCACATTGAAGGGTTTCATAGGTGAAAAGTAAGAACTAATCATGGTCATAGTTTAATGAAATCGATTGATGAGATAAAATTTTAAAACAACAATGCGGTGGCATTTTCAGAAATATTTTAATGTTGAATGTGTAAAAAGTGTATCGTTGTATTACAAATATTGTGTTAGTGCGCGTCATAAAGTGCGTCATATTTCAAACAAAGTGTGCTAGAATTAAAACAGTTGTAATAACTCAAAGTACATGAGTCTAATGTAGTTTTGTATTATACTGATACACATTCTATATCTTTTTTTACACATTTAGAATCAAAATACACTATATTCATTCTTACTTTTAATGGGAAAAGTACTTTTCAATTGAACTCATCTCTCTCTCTATATAATATCAATTTCATTAGCAAAAAAAACAATGATACAAATGGAGTGTTACTGCCAATTTGACAACATTCATCTAGAGGGTCTCCACTACAAACAAATAGAATAACTTGAAAGCTAACATACTCAAACCCTTAAAGTAAAAATCATAAAGCCGCACAACGGTACAAAACTTATAGGGGCATACACTACTACAAAACTATATATGGAGTCATGTGGAAACGCCTTTTATGTGCCTCCTTTAAAGCGATGTATAAGCTACCAATAGGTAAGGTAGGGCATCTATTACTTTGCTTTTTGACGATGTGAAAAATTTGTGCACATTGCCTGTGGTTGGTATTGATCCCAGGCACACAAGTGTCATCATATTCTGAGACACTGGGAGTGAGTTATTCTTCTATGGTTTGCCTTTAAAAACACCATTTCCATTGGGACCTAAGCCATGAGGATGAGGAGGTTGGTGTCTTGGCTGCTGAACATTTTGTTGTTGCATTCGGACTAATTCATTAGAACTCATACGCTTGTGGTTGCATTGTAATATCAACAACATTAATTAGCCTCATCAACTGATGCAGAGGTAGAACAAGGTATGTTGTTCCCTTTTTCTTTGCAATATGATGCTCAAAGATGGCTGAAAAGCAGCCCACACTGCCACTTGTTTCCATGGGACTCGCTGCACACCATTTTTAATCAAAGAATATTTTCCCACTTCTAAGGCCATTAAGCTCAATAAACAAGTGTAGGAATTTAGGAAAGGGTCTCTAGAGGTATGGAAGTGTTTGAAGATGCTTTGGAGATCTGGTTCCCAAAACATGATGAGCAACTATGAGTTTATCTCCTACTTCTATTGAGGTATATGTGACGAAGCGGAGATGATGTTAGATGCCTCAACAAGTGAAGCTTTTATATAGTTGTTATGTAATTCATAGCCGTTATATCTACTTGTGTTTTACACAAGTATTTATAAATATTTGTGGAACAAGATAAGAGAAATTGGGCAAATACCTTTAGAATGGGAGCTAGAGCACAAAATATTGCGATGCAGGGCTTTTTGGGCCAAGAGGATGATGTTTTGTCCATAACTCAATTATAAAGTTTTGTGTTAAAACTCCAACCAACTACATTCAAATTTCATGTGAACTATAACTCAACAAGCTACAAATGTTGTGAAGCCATCATGGCCAGAATATGAAAGGATCAAGACCAAATAAACCAATAAAGTCAAATGTTGCTGCTATGATTTCAAGATGTATACCTCTCCCACTATCTTATTTATTTCTTTTGATCGGATGATTCAAATCCAGAGATTAAAATTTTGGGGAAAGAAGTCTTTTGTCGCTACAACTTTGGTGAAAGAATGATGTCCGAATTAGTAATGTAAAAAATAATATTGTCTAGAACACACAAGTTACGGGGCAGAATCATCTGGCGCAAGGTTCAAACTTTTTCTCCAAGGCAAAATTTACGAGAGCAACCCAGCGCCGGTCATAAGTCGAACCAGGACCGGCTGTTTCGGGTTCTGTAGAAACACGAGAACATGTTGGAATATTTTGAAGGGATGTGAAGATTTGAAGGTTGGGAGTTGAGAAATTTCATCTGATCTGATACATGATTGAGAATAGACTAAAAGATGTCAATCTTTAGCCTATTTAAACCCCCACTTCCATTCCATAATCATCATTCATTTATATAGCTCAATTCTTATGGTGTTTGTAATTTTTATAATTTTCTTTCACTTTTATGGTGTTTCTTGAACTGTGAAAGTTCACTTTTGCAACCATTAGTGTTTAGGTAACATTTCCTTTGTATATTCATGTACCTTTACTTTTTAAACAATGTATTGTGATTAATATGAGCATTAGAGACTATCCTTAGCTAAGGTTATGGATGAACCTCTATATTCACTATGTGTTTATTAAAATTTCTGAATCAATAAATTATGATTTATGCTTTTCACTTTGATTACTTATGGCTATGGTGTACAACATAGACGTATGTTAAACTTAGTTTATACCTACAGTT